TCTACAGTGACATGCACGCTAAAGCTCAACTCTTGGTTAACCCTAAGAGTGACCAGCATCTAATTTCTCCTAACAATATCTCCCCTGAATCACACATTAAGGTCAGGAGAATTAAGGAAATGATCATCAACTTAAGAAGCTTCTTGACACTAACATCATTCATTATTTCCCCATCCAAATAAGAGAAATGATTCCTTGAAGAGAACATCGTCATATTCTGACACGGAGAGTGCTCCAGAGGTGCGTCGACTGCGAGGACCCTGGGGATCAGCCAGTGAAACAGACCTGATGCGAAAAGCCCTTGTTGATGAGCTCCATCAAAGATTTTCTTCGACTGAGTCTCTCAAACGGAGAAAAACTACAGCTCGGTATAGAGCTGCAAGTATCTCAGGACTCACTCGAGATGGATCATCCGAATGGAAATCAACATCAATTGAGGAACTAAGAGCGAGGAAAAGCTCTAAGTCAATTGAGGTAAATAGGCCTAACTTCCGTAAATACTCCTATACGCACTCTCCCCCCCTCCCAACCCCGGTTTTAGAGTGTATATCAGTGACAGGAAAATTTAAGAGGGGGCCTTCTCAGAAAGGGAGAGGGCATTCAAAAATCATCAGGAGCTAAACTGCGAGTCAACAATACGAGCCACACCTTGGACCTCTTTTCCCCAGATTTTCATTCAACGGCGCATCTCCAGGATATTTATTGAACTTTATTGAAACTTCTTTTTATTTCAGCTGGCAGCTCAACTCCTGCAAGAAGAAACAGACAAATGGGAAGAAGGAAATAATTCCATTGTCTCGGTGGCCAAGGAAATGGCGCAGCAAATGCTTCACATTGCTAAATTAGCTCAAGGACGAAATCGAATTCAGGTACTTAAAAGGTTGTGGAGCGATCGTTTGTTAGACATTCCATTCTGTCTTAGACTGAGACTGACTCATTGCCTTGTCAAACAATGGTATAAACTGGCTCTTATGTTCTTTATCAAGGCGTTGTGAATGAGCACGTTTCTTGACATAGCAAACAAGCTTTACGACGTTGACATTCGTCTCTTGTTTTTTTTTTGTTCTTGTTTTGGTGTGAATTGAACTACAGGATGGTGTCTGTCCTCGATTAATTCTGATTGTATCTTCAGTGTTTTGAGTAATTTTATTGTAATGAATCCATCAATTATTCAAAGTGATATGTTATCCAAGTTTTCCATGGGAATGTCTCACCAATTTCACAAAATATCTGACAGTGTCTTTCTTTTCTGTCAGAACAAAATGGAATTAATCAACACCGCAAAAGGTATCGCTTCCAACGCTAAGTCTATGCTCAAGTTTGCTCACGTTATAGCTGAACAGTGTGCAGACGAAAGGTAAGTGGATGTTTCCAGAGTTCCTGGTTATCTTTTGTTTGTGCATAGTTAATAGAGGGGACTGGGTCCCCTCTATTAACTATGGTTTGTGTGTGTATTTATGTGTATATGATTTTGCTGAGTTATAAACTGAGTGAGGTCTTATTCTGTTGGTTGTGTTCAGAAGTAAAAGTGACTTGCTCTACTATGCGGAATACCTGCCAACCATCAGCACACAGCTGAAGATCCTATCGTCCGTCAAAGCAGCCACTCCCTCGGACATATCGGTAAGTTTCACAGGGTGCAGATCTAGACAAGTCGTATTTGAATGTATTTCCACTCGTGGAGGATTGGCTCGCGAAGAGATTCTAACCGTTGCAGTAATAAATGAGTAAAAATCATCTCTTTTGTTGTATTATCTCACTGTTTTAGTCTATGCACTAAAACAACTCTTTACCTCAGTGTGGGTAGCTAGCAGGGGATATTTACTTTGTCCCTTCGCAGCTCGGTGAATGTCCATTACGAGCCGCCTCTATTTCGGGGAATAGATGTTAATTATCATATCTGTGTCCTTTTTATTTTTTCACAGGCGGACGCGATGCTTGTAAAAAACGCACAAAATCTGATGCAAGCTGTCGTGAAGACCTTGAAAGCAGCAGAGGCGGCATGTGTAAAGGTGATGCGGCATGTCTCTTTAAGGGTCCTTTATCTAAAAATAAGATGTTCGGAAAGCCGTTGTAACACGGCTCTTATTGCATTCTAGGATCTGCATCCTCCTGAGCAAGACGCCTCGTCCGATCACAAAGAAGCTGTGGACATCGCCTTTCAGTGGAGGAAGAAATTAAAAAGGCAGCGCGCCTTCGAGGCTCTGACTGCACCACGTGATCAGCTGGGCTTGCGCAGACGGGAGAGAAACAGTTCCACGCCTTCTCTGGCAGACATAGTTCATGTGTAGCACATTTGAGTTGTAAATTATCGAACCAGGAGGCTAGTTTGTGGTGGTTTTTGTTGTAGATAGAACACGTGTAAATACATTGAGTGAGTGAGTGTGTTTCTGTGTGATTTGGGACTTCAACGTCTCTCTCTCTGAATTAATGAAGCAATTTTCATCCACAAAATGACTGTTCTCTGGCTTATAGTCTTTTAATATCGTCACATCATTTCGGCTCCAATTGCTCTTGTCGTCTTGAGCGCTGTGGTGGCACATCATAGTCAAGGCGTAATCTGGAAGAAAATACTCGTTTAAGTTACTTCATTCCAGTTTTTTTAAAGCTCCATCAGAAAAAAATCGAAAGCGGAGAACTAGGATGATCGGCGCACAGAGGGTGGGGGAGGCGACTTTTTTTAACCCTAATCTAATTTCTTATATTGTACTGAACAATTGAAATAAAACGATCCTTCATAGCCACTTGAATACGATATCATTACTTGTTCTTTAAGTTAAATCTCATCATTCCATAGAAATGCAGCGAATCAGAAGCAGTTGCATTTTCCGCAGTCTACGTTGGGCAGTAAGCTCTAGGAATGTTTCCCGGCAATCCTCGCAGATTCTATTTTTTCCGCGGAAAATAAAAGAACGGCAAACTTTCTCGTTTATTGTGGCCGCTCGTTTGTTGAGATTCTTCACCACTCATGATTAGAACTTGAACGCGCCAACCAATTATGAAATAACTTGATAAATGAATGAATAAAAAGTCATTGCAAATAAGAGAAGATATTCTCCCTTTTCAGGCTAGTCATTATTGTCCAACCCTCCATTCCCCTCCACTAAATAACCCCACCCTCCTCCGACCATGTAACATCTAGTACCTTGGTCAAGAGTAAGTACTAGTGTCTTTTTGTCTTAGCCGAATACGAATAGTTTACAGAGCTTGTGAAGAGAAATTATGATCGATAGCCCTTTTCAGTTTTATTTGCCCTCTTCCTTAATGCCAGGGATGTATACAGTTAAGTGTCTATTGATACATCTTCAAGTTTTGTGAAGCGAGGGACGTTAGATGACGAAAGCATGATATGCATTTTCTATGGTGCGTTGCTGATCCGCACTTAGAAGGCAGGAAGTAAAGCAAGGTAAAGAGGAAACACAAGGAATGGAAACGATTGAACTGCAAAGAGACTTCAGGGAAGATCATAAAAAAGCAGATGAGTCGTTCAGAGTAACAAATATCTGAATCATCATGAGTAAGTCAGTAATTTACTTTCATTTTCTTGATTTCTTTTCACCCGACTGTTGTGGGTTTGTAGTAAGGTACTGCAAACATGTAATCGTTGGCCGCATAATTATGTACGAGAATTGTTCTTGCCGGTAGTCTTGACCACGCAAGGCAAGAATGCCCAAGCTTCGGAACAGAGTATATTTCGATTCCACGCAATGCCATGGTTGTCTGTGCACGGGAGTTCTCCTTCACGTAGGATTTTCTTTTATACCTTTCTGCGGGTCTAGCCCCTCACTTCCTGTGAAAAGTATAGATAAAGGTAAAATAAATTTAAAACTATGATCTAACAGGACAACTAATTCAAATACTTAGGACATAGTAACATTGATGTATTTAATTACTATAACACACAACTTTAAGAACAAGTTAAGAATGTTGAAGACCCAAATCAAGGTGAATGGCGCCAAGTGAAACAAATGAATCGCAAAATGAACTATTTTGTTGTGAAATTTTCGTGCCCTAAAATGAGACTTTCTAATAAAAAGGATCGGGTATTTAGCTTCGCTGTAGCCATCATATCAGGAAAAAAAGTTAATTTTTGGAAAAAGTCTTACGAAACATCTCACTTGTAAATGGATGGAAGGGAATAGGAGGGAATAGGGAGAAATTCTTCTTTGTCACAAACGACGCACTTATCTTAGGGCCTGATTACATGAGCCGAGCTGGCGCGGTTAGCCGGGCTGATTTCTTTTGTTTTCACGCTTTGGCGAACACCAAAACAAAAGAACTCAGCCCGGCTAACAGGGCCAGCCCGGCTCATGTAATCAGGCCCTTACTATCCCCAGACCCTCGTTCCATCGTTGCCATCGAAAACATCAACAACACGTCGACTTTGTGGCTTTGGAGGTTGGCGTCTGTCTATTGATTAACTAACGAACGCAGTTCAGGGAACCTCTTTTCAAATTTTGAAGATGAAATTAACATAGTGAGAAGGATGTCTGCCAAACTGCCGTCTTCTCTTGTTCAGACGAAGTCAATCGAGCTCGTTTTGGCGCCAATTACCTCTCAGGTTTGTAAATTTGTTGATCATTGATAATTGATTTGCATGCTGAATTATTTGCTGGGATAAGTATAACTTTGATTGGGTTGGATGTAAATGCAACCTTCAAATTAAACACGAAAAGATTTACACTCTTTTCGAAGCGCTTTTTTTAGAGATCGATCGCGCTTCTTACATGGTTCAGTAAGCGTAACCCACTATGCGGCCCTTTGTGGCAGTTTCTTATTTCTTCTGACTGCGGCTACCTTGGAAGTGGCTCAGGAATCAAATTGTTCACTATTATTACCATCTCTTTCGCATGGAAACTTTGCTCGAGTTGTTTTATCCGCTGCAAGCTATGTCTTTGAGATTTAAAACGAGAGCAATTTGCCGTAGTATGGCGGATCACTCGGACGGCCCGGTACTAGTAGCGTGGAAGCGAGGCGATTCAGTCCTCTGATCCTTTGTTTTGATTACACGTCCTTTTTTCACTGTGTTTTAGTGTAATCATTTCGCGATGCTTTCGTTCTGTTGCGAACCCAAATGCAATCAGAAAGGTTACATATCGTCATTACATATCGAAAAGGTTTCTTTCTTTAACTTTCCTAAAGAGCCTTTGATAAGAAAACAGTGGATACACGCAATCCGTCGAGAGGAACGCAAGGACTTCGTCATAACAGAGAATACGGAAGTCTATCAACGGACGGATTTATGTCAAGGAAGACGGTGTTCCTTCAAAATTTGACTGGTCAGGACCTTCTCCTAAAAAAGAAAGGCCCCGACTGAACGGCAACCGCTGCCTGCAAAGAAAAAACTGCTCACCGAAGACAACTCTCATCGCTCTGATCAGTCTGCGTATGTAAACAATGAAGTGCAAGAAACCGTCGAGATGTCCTCCTTTGAGCCAAGTACAAGGTTCGAAGAAGACACATGTAAAACCCTAAATTTAGAAAGGCAAATCGCCGAATAAAGCAGGAAGATCGGCGAACTAGAAGAGAAATTGAAGCACGCCGTAAGTGAAATAAACAACCTTCGTCGCGAAAACATCGAATTGACTGAGAAATTGACAGGGTGCGAACGCCAACACAAGGAAATGTCTTCGCGTTTAGTTTGTGTCGATCGTTTCATGACGGGCGGAAACGTTTTTTTTTTACACTGGTCTGTCCAGTTATGCGACTTTTATGTCCATTTTCGAGTATTTAAATCCTGGAGACAATTGTACAAACATTCGCTCCAGACGCGGTGTGATAGTTGTCCCTGAATACTTTTATAATTCAGACTCTGACGATGAGAGAAAATGTTCAGGCTGCAAAGAAAGGACATAGCCGAAAGCTCAAGCCACTAGACGAATTTTTCATTGTGCTTTGTCGTCTGAGAAGAGGGTTCTCAGAAAAACATTTGGCCCGTGGTGAAACGATCGCACTCTGTCAATTTCTCTGTCAATTCGATGTTTTCGGGACGAAGGTTGTTGATATTTCACTTACTGCGTGCTTCAATTTCTCTTCTAGTTCGCCGATCTTCCTGCTTTATTCGGCAATTTGCCTTTCTAAATCTAAGGTTTTACATGCGTCTTCTTCGAAGTTTGTACTTGGCTCAAAGGAGAACATCTCGACGGTTTCTTGTACTTCATTGTTTACTGACGCAGACTGATCAGAACGATGAGAGTTGTCTTCGGTGAGCAGTTTTTTTCTTCGCAGGCAGCGGTTGCCGTTCAGTCGGGGGCTTTCTTTTTTAGGAGAAGGTCCTGACCAGTCAAATTTTGAAGGAACACCGTCTTCCTTGACATAAATTTGTCCGTTGATAGACTTCCGTACGCTCTGTCAAGACGAAGTCCTTGCCTTCCTCTCAATGGATTGCATGTATCCTTTGTTTTCTTATCAAAGGCGCTTTAGGAAAGTTAAAGAAAGAAACCTTTTCACCTAATGACGATATGTAACCTTTCTGATTGCATTTGGGTTTGCAGCAGAACGAAAGCATCACGAAATGATTACACTAAAACACAGTGAAAAAAGGACGTGTAGTCAAAACAAAGCATCGGAGGACTGACTAGCCTTACTTCCACGCTATTAGTACCGGGCCATCCCAGTGATCCGCCATATTTGCATTCAGTCTATAGGCTGAGCAGTATGATTCATGTACAGCAACATTTAGCTCTCCAATTCATGCCCCACATCTTTCGACTTTTGTTGATAAAGATTACGTGAATTTGGCTCAATCCAAAGTCCCACGACTGAGTGTGCAAGGGCACTTCTTGGAACTATGGTCCATTTGAAAGAAAGTATTGAAAATAGCAAGAAACTTACTTTAATGACCTTCACAAAAGATGTCATAGTCCTTTGAATGAGGTGTAGGCTACTTTCCACGCCTGTCAACTTACCTTGAACCATCTTCCCAATACCACTGATCAACTTGTGAACTTTGTCCATTAACATATGATTATCATTATCTTGGGTTATCTAACTGAGGTTAACTCACTTGCACATTTAATTACCTTGTCCACCAAGAGAGCTGTCATCCAGTTAACAAGAATTATTATAAAAAGTTTTTTTGGTGCATTTAGAAACCTGAATGCGCTTCTATTACTATATAGAAAAATGTTAATAAATTAGTTGGTACCTATTAAAATGTTTCCCATGACAGCAATAAGTAAAATAAATGAAATAATTAATTGAGAATTAATTCATGCAAAAGCTAGGTACAGTTCCTCATAAAATAAATGAAGATTAAAATTTCCAAAACAAGAATGGTTTAGGCTCAGATTTAAAAGATGAAAGAGACGTAATTTTTAACAGAATCTGATAGACTGTTCCATAATTTAGGAGCAGAGAAAGAAAAGGCATCTTTGCCATGTGTCATAGAGTTCACAGTAAGGACAGTGAAAAGCAGTTTAGAGGATAAGAGTAGGCTTTGTTGTGGGTGGTATTGTTGTAAGAGAGACGATAAGTAAGTGGGACAAAGAATATTAAGAACTTTGAATATAATCTGAGACTCAACAGGTAGCCAGTGTAGTTCTCGAAGAGCAGGTTTGATGTGCTTGTATGGTTTAGTTCCAGTGATAGTTGACTGAGGATGTTGGCAAGTTGACCACCAACTCATCAACAATTTAATTGTTGATGAGTTGGTTTGGTAGTAAGGTGACCAGTACTCTTCTGATTCTTTGGTATTACAGAGTTTGTGTGCTAATGCCATTGATTTTGAGGCTTCAAGCAGGTTGAGCTAATTAGCCATAAAACATTCAGTAAAGATGAGTGATACTCCAACAATGTAAAGCAATTAGGCTCTGAAAGGACACCTTCTTTATTTAAAGAAATAAATTTTGACATTTAACTTTGTGAGGAATACGGTGTGAATTTCAGGCAAAAAATTTTATTAAACTTTTGGTTTTACATTGATTTGCTTTTTGTTGTGTCTGGTATATACTTATTCTTACACAAAGAAAAATAGATAATGAACAGTCTCCGATATGATTTGATTGAGCTGGAATAGATTGAAAGTACAACAATATATGCAAAAACAATGTAATGTACTGGGAATTATCTGGAAAGGGTCAAACTGTGTGGAGGGTGTCTCCCTTAACAGCAACAAACCTGTGCTCTAAATGTACATGTGAAAAAGAGTAAAAAAAAGCAGGATAGGGGAGATTGTGAGGGAGGGAAGCAAAAAAAACAGTGATACTCAAATAAGATGTGAATGGTGAAAGAAGTGACAGTGTGCAGGTGAAGAAAGAAATTGGAGCAAACCTCTTCCAAGCATAATTACCGGCTTCCCTGCCAACGTTGCCATGTTTGCCAGCATGTCAATCACCTTTGATATTTTTGTCATATTTGCCTGTAAATGGATTGGACGTTACTCTAAATTAGTAATTTTGGGAATTTTTGCCAAATGTGCCATATTCGCTAAGGTTTCCTTGCCAAAATTGACACATTTTTCTCTTAATGATCCTTAACTTAAGAGTCCTCGGCAAACATTTGCCAAAATCGCTATTTTTATGGCTGCTTTCATTTCTGGACATACATGTAAGTGTCTCTCCCTCGCTGTGCTGTGTTAAATTTGAATCAGTCATTAAGCATTATTTTCTGCACAAAGGATAAGGGTTACTGTGTTTATGAGATGCATTGTGCTTAAAAATCTTCAGGTTTCCCAGGTGATTTTTTTGAATGAAGTAACACAAAAAGATGGTGTTCCTTTGCCAGACTTGGTTTCCAGTGCCCAACAGATCCGAGGGGCCATCAAGAGCCTGGTACTGGCTGCTCAGATATTGGTCTCTGAAACAACAGATGATGTAAGTACTGTGCCGATTAAGCCTTTTAAAAAATAAGTAATCATGTTTTTTTTTCCTCTAGATATCTGGTGTCTTTGTCATACGTCAGTATCTAGATACTTCTTATAGATGTCAAGTTGTGAAAACTGATCAGGCTTAGCTTGAATCAACAAGAAAAATTGTACTAAATATGTTTCTGTAATGATGGGGGGGGGGGTGATGTTACAAAATCAGCTGGTGGTAACTTTGAATTAAACCTTTGGAAAAAAAGCATCAATTGAAAACAGTGACTTTCTTATTTTAAACTTGAATTCTAGAGGGAAAATGTTATTTTGTATATTTACAGGAGAAGTACGGTTATTGTGCAATGTCTGTGATATGATTTATCATGGATTAACTGATTTGTTCTCAGTAACATTAAGAACTTTGTTGGAAGTTTGAACCTTGCACTTGGTTGTTTAATGTCGTCTGAGGTCCTACTAAATTCGAAATATTACATTCTGATATTATGTTCCGATAGATGGCAAAATTTCCAAGCTGTTAAGTTAAAACAAAGCAAAAAATATCGGACATTTGATGAGAGAGTAGTGGTTGACGCTCGTTAAAATTTGACATTTACTTGTGCCGTTTTTATTAGTGTCTTTCTTTACAATAGCTGAGATAGAAAGTTTGTCAATTTGGATAGAAATTTGAACTGTTACAGACTTAGTTCTAAAGTCTTTTCTTGGTATGGATCAGTGAATCAACAATGATGTGATCTGATATTACAGGATTTGAAATCAGCAATGCCTCCAGCATGTGATTCTGTGACAGATGCAGGGAATGCATTAGTGATGGCAACACATCAGCTTAAACAGCAGCCATTCTCAGGCAAAGTGAGGTAAAACCTGGTAGACTCTGAAAGAAATATCCCTGAAGGAACCATGAAGGTGAATTTAACACTTAACCTTACTTTTATTTTGAGGAGAAATGAGGTGTCACAACTGAAATGTTTTTTAGGCTTGATGCTAGATCAAGTGGTTCAGATGTTGACTCTGATTGGATCACTCTGTAGTTAACGAATGGTGAAACACCACAGCATACACTATTGAGTTGTGGATGCACGCAGGAGGTTGCTAAGCACGAAAGAAGCATAAGAGTCGCTCGAGGCAATAGCAGAGAGGGACTCTAGCTTCTTGAGTGCTTAACAAACCTCCCAAGTGCATCCATAACTCAATAGTGTAAGCTGTGGTGTTTACCATTTGTTTTATAACATAACATTGATACATTGTAGCTAAAGAGTTCCCTTTTATTTAACAAATCTTACGCGACCAGAAAAAAACAAACGCGCGCGGAAAAAAATAGTCTTTGCATTTGCTCTCGTCAGCAGCGTACACCCATGGGCAAATGGGGGACGCTAAATTGACCAATCAGAGCGCGTGCTTAACTTTGGTTATGTTATAATTGTCTCTGGCAAAACACTCTACTCCCTCTGTCTCACTCCACCCAGGGGTACAGATATGTTATTAGCCATTTTTTTGTGTAGTATTGCTGAGTATTTTTACAAGTTGTGCAGTATTTTGACAGGCCCGCAGGGTGAGTCAAAATGCAAATAATGAGTAAAGGTAATCAGCGATACGACACAACAAAACTTCTAATAAGTTATTTTTTATCTAACATGCCAGTTTGTTATTCCAGTGTGGGCGAATTTTGCAGATATTTATTTCTGGGGAGTGCGTGACAGAAGTATGCGAAGTGGCACGTTGTCGTGTTGCTGTTTCTATTTTCTTTAATAAATGATGAAATTTCCGTGTAGTCGAACTGTCTTTCTTCATTCGATTTATCTAATCAACTTGGATCAATATTCACCAGCCATTATGATTCTTTGTTGTCAGAGAAATAACTTGAATTGTAGGCCTTTTTTTTTTTTTTGTAACTTCAATCTAATTTGTGGCTTGCACAATGCAAGAAAACCTTTTTAACTGGTTCTCTGGGGTACAAATAATGTGTGATATTTGTACTTGTCTTGGGCACTATTTGTACTCTACGGAGTGTAGTAGTAGTAGTAGTTGGATAATAAAAATGGGTACCAGCAAACTTTCAGGGAAACTTTAAAAATGCTGGAGATAACCCTACGGTGGACAGTAAAGCCTTATCATAACTCTTTAATCTCTGAAGGTGGTAAGCATCTAATTTCTCCAAACAGTATCAGCCCTAAATCAAACATTGAAGTCATGAGAATAAAAGAAGTGATTGTTACTCAGACAATAAGCTCTTGATTGGCAGAGAAATTCTCCTTTTAAGTATCATAGGAAAATGTAAAGAGAACAGAAGGGAGAACTTGCCTGAGTATTTTAGCTGATAATGAATATCAATTAGTCATGTTCATTTCCTTTGCATTAATTTTGATTTAGAAACAAACGCTCCCCTATCTTGAATCAACTTCGGTAGGAAGGTTTTTATGGGTTAGACAGGAGTTCTGAAAATTGAGGAAATAACTTTGAACATGTCAAAGATTTGTCCCAGGTTTGGGTAGGTATATTTAATATTACTATAATTTCAGAGCTAAGCAAAGAGTTTCCAGCAATCTGATTGGTCGAGCGGTTCCTTATATGACGTTATATAAACCGCTCCGCGCAGTTTATATAAAATGTTAAACTAAAATGTTAATAAATGTTACTAAAATGTTATGATTTTAGACATTTCTCTGTTGTTCAGCACTGAAATTATACTAAAACAATTATTAGCCTCAGGTTCGGTGAATATTGTCGAAGAATCCCCTCTACTTCGTCTCAGGGATTATTCGACGATATTCACCTCGCCATCGGCAAATAATTGTTTAATAATAATAATAATATGGTCTTTATATAGCGCTATTTCTATCACTATACAATAGCGCTGTACAGTAATTTTATAAATCAGACCAATAAGATTATAAAACCATAATAATCTCTAAAACACGAGTAGAAGAAACTAGCCAATAAGATAGTCTGTAATAATGAGAGTAAAAACCTTTAAAACTTATAATGAAATTAACTAATTTCCTAGCCAATTAACTAGCTCACCAACAAATCAACTAAATAACTAACCAACTATCTAGCGGCCTAACTTACTACTTACAACAGGAAAGCCTTGCTTGGTACAGTACTGTGAGACTTGTGTTACTGATGTGTTTAAAAAACTAACAAAGAGATAGAATTGATTTGGATGTAAAAAATTTAGATTTCCCTGGGTTGGAAGTGGACATAACTAGGTTGATTTTCAATTTCAAATAAAACAGTGTTGTTTTATGAGTAACATGCAACTGCAGTTGTGATGTTTTGCTGAGGTTTTGAGGGGGTCATATTTCTCATTAGCCACTGACAAGTGGGGAGGTAGGAAATGTTTGAATAATTTAATTCTCATATGCTGACATCCGATCTCATGCAACCTTAACAACAACATGTTAAGCACTATTGATCAGTACATGTAAATATGCGCTATCTAAATTGGTAATTGTAATTGTAATTATTAGTAAAATTATTTGTTCACAAGTGAGTAAAGAATGACTATTTGATCTGTGCGTGGAAAACAAATATCAGAAAGATCCCTGGATTGATATACTACCCACCAAGCTATGAGGCCACATGTTGGGAGAGAGATAAATTTGAGATCCAAGGTTCTTTTTGGTCACAAAGGCATAAATTTATATGTTACAAATGTTAACAAATAAAGAGTCAGTTTTTTGGGTCATGTTTATCCAATAGGAGTCAATGAGGAACACCAGGATGAGAATTTGTGGACAGCAGGCTCTGTTGGCCTCAATAAACCATCTCAGACTTCTTGTGCTCCTGTGTCTAGATTACTGAATGCTGTAAAGGCCAGAGACTTTAACGTAGCAGAAATGGAACTAAGAAAAGTTGAGTCTAGAGCCTAATGGCTCTGAGTATGCTGGGAAGCACATCAGCTGACAAATCATGGAATTTGGAGAGAGTGAGGTGTGCACTAATCCAGTGTTATAGCAAGTGTACTGTTTTGCCCATATTTAGTCATTAGTCTCATTTACAGCTGTTCTTTGGGATGTCACACAAGGCTTCCCTGAAAGTTAATGTGGGTGGAACATTGTGTGACATCCTAAAGAAGAGGTGTGTAGGAGAGCAAAAACAACTAATAGTTAGTAGAAGTGAATATTTATGAAACCCAACAGATTCCTTTGTTATAGGTTATTGTTAGGTTTTTTTGGGACTTGACTAACAGAAACTTCTGATGAAGCCATTAATCTCTAAGAGTGACAAGCATCTTATTTCTCCTTACAATACCAGCCCTGAATCACACTTTAAAGTCTTGAGAATAAAGAAACTGATCACTGACTAAAGGGGTTCTTGATTTTTAAACAAATTCTCTTTGTCAGCACCGTAGGAAATGGATAGAGGACAATATGAAGAATATGCATACTGAACTCAGAATATAAAGATTAAATTATTTAGCCACAAGTTATAAATGAAAAAAGGAAAGTGTGACCACAGCTATGGGGCTTCCAACCTAAACTGTGGGACTGTGTTTTATTTTATCTCTCTCTTTTTTATTTTTCAGTTTTTCTTAATCACTTCAACTAACTAAAATATTTTCCTTTACCACCTTCTATTTGTCTCATTCTTAATTTTGATTATCCACTTTTATTGGTCAATGGCCTTGCTATCTTACTATTTCCCCCTATTTCCTAGACGTGTTCAGGTCTATGCAGGAGAGATCAAAAGACTCACACCACTTATCATACAAGTAATGCATGATGTTAGAAATGATACAGGTGACTTGGTGACTGTTGAGCCACTTTAGACTATTGGTCGAGAATGGGCTTCCAAAGTACATGTGCTTTCTGGAACTGTTGATGAAATTGTTGTGCCCTGGTCAGCAGCAGCATCTAAACTGGCTCTGGCTGCTCCTTCTGGTGATGCAGAGCAATTAAAAAAAAACCAGGAAAGGTGACTTGAGGTAGAGCTAGCTGGTAACGTTTCAAATTACAATTACATGTCTCAGATTGACAAAGAGACATGCTCCAGTGTCCTGTAAAGTTTCTAAAGCTGACATTTCTAGCATAAGCCATTTTTTATTCACTCTGAGGAAGGGCTCAAAATGTTAGCTTTAGAAACCATGGTAGCCAATTTAAGAACTTGAACTCAGTTGACAAAAAGGAAGTATCTTGTAAAGAAAAGTAATAAAGAAACAGACATCTTTGCTTCCTATTGTTCAAAAGAAAAGTAATAAAGAAACGGATATCTTTGCTTCGTATTGTTCAAACCTGCCATTAGTTTCATGATTTGTTTTTCTTTCTCATGACCTTACAGCCATCACCTGTCTGCTTGTCGGTAAATTATTTGTTTTGAAAGAAGAAATTTTTTGTTGACTAAGAGTAAAAGGGTTAACATTTTTTATTGGGGGGGGAGGAAATGATGTGTCGAAGCTAAATATGTAATTTCCAGTTTTTAAGTGCATGCATGGTTATTCTACAGCAATCATTTGGATGAGATTAAAATATTGGCTTCCTATATTTTGTTTTGGACATACAGGATATTCTGATCACCTGGGTTTTTGTACAGGGTTTGTACAGGTGAAATTTTAAATTCATGTGGGAATTGTGGAATTTAGTGAAAGATCTTTTTTAAAGTCCTCAAAAAATCATGAACGATTGCATGAGACCAAAGATGTTGAAGAAATTGGAAGAATTTTCAAGTGCTCTTTTTCCTGTGCTGCAACAAGTACCTAATTGCAGGTGGTAGTTGTTGTGCTTTGTGAGGTTTCCCTGCCTCTTGTGGAATGTATTTCTCTTTCTTGATTTCCTTTCCTTTGTTCAATTTTTTTTTTTTTACTTGTTCACCAAGGTCAATTGGTTATTACATGTCCTACACAAATAATTTTGGACAAAAGTGGCCAGGAACTTATTCAAGAAAACAGTTGTTACATGCCCTGTACATTTACACTTCATAAAACATTTATTGTTGGTTTGAGACATGGAGTAGAATTTCTGTCCAGGTTTAAAGGAAGGTGCAGAAAATAATTTAATCTGAAATATGGTAAAGGCTTTGGTAGGGGTGCTGCTGGCTTTTCATATTTCATGTAATTCGTTACCCCCCCGACTTAACCCAGGGGTGATGAACGTGTAACTTCTCCCTACAATAATCCTACATCATGCAGCAAAGAGGTAATGAGAATACTGAAATTAATCAGGTGGATGTGGTTATCTCGATCTATAACCAAATTCTCATAATTGAGTTACAAGGAAATTTAATAGATCAAGGGAAGAGATAACAATCAGATCTTGAAGGGTTAAGAGTAGGTGCCAGTGATCTGTGCTTCTATGGGGGACTTGAGGCATGTCTCTGGTAAATTTATCAAGATTTTGTCTCGTACTTAAAAGGTTACACCTTCCCCTCCCC